TCTAGTCGTTTAGTACGTTATCTCATGCATTTTTTATGGGATATATTACTTGTCATTCACATCAATGCCGAGTGGAAACACGATACAAAAAATATTTATTTTTAACAGGAACTTTTGAGGAACAACTCTGAAAGCAAGGCTCTAGCCTCGGAATAATAGGTTTCTTAAAGAAATTTCGAACCAATCTACATTACAAAAATTTGATCAAATATCAGATATGTGACTCCTGCGACTGAGTAAAGGACTGACAATCTCAAAACGATATGGGACATGGATGCTTGATAAAATTGTTTATATTATTCGTAATGACGTATTTCTACTGGCCATTATTTAGATGACGGAAAAATTTTCTTTGACAAAATTGAACATTAAAAAGATTGCATTACGTTAGTAATAATAGTTTTAATTACTACTTGCACAAACATTTTATAAATGACAATTTTTTGTAATTTAAATGCCACGTGGAAATTCGGCATAAAAACGCTGTTAATCAAATCGCTTCATCACAAGTTGACACCATATTGACGATCGTGTCAACAAATTGAAATGAAACTTTTAAAAATCCCTAATGCCGGATTTCCACTAGGCATTAAACGACAAAAAATGTTAATGTAAAAATTGAAGCATTTAAAAATTATTTATGCCCGATTTCCACTAGGCATTTAACGACAAAAGAATTGTATGTCAAATTTGAGCATTAAAAAAGCGGTATAACTACGTTAAAAGTAAAAAACCAAAAGGTCTGCTTTCTCATGCAACCGTTAGGCAATTTTTCGTAATTTTTGACATCTCAATGCCTGGTGGAAATTTGACTAAAGAGTACAGGTACAGCGTTTTGACCAGCTTATAGCAGACATTTTCTTATATGTATGTATGTGTTGGCATATGAAACCCAAAGGCAAATATCATAAATTTCCAAGAAACTTGAACCTCAGTTGGGGATCAGTGCTGTCAATATTTCTAGTATTAGCTTATGAACCACTAACGCTTTCGACAAGTGAATTCAATCAAATTATGACGTGAAGATATGTTCTCAGCTCCAAATATAAGACAATTGATGTTAAAACCCTGTCAGGTTCAAAATAAAAGGAACTTTTTTACAATAGCAGGGGAATAGGGAATTGAAAAGTTCCAGTAATCCCCGTACACGTCTGACTTGACACGCTCTCGATTTCCAGCTTCCATTTCGGGACCCACTTAAATTTAATTAGTGTATCAAAATTTCAACATTTCTCTCTCTGTAATTTAACCACTTAATTTTAAATGTAAATAAGAATCAAAATTTCAAGTGATGATGAAACAGTGTTAGGAGAACACAATTTTACGCGCCTCAAAGCAAGTTAAGTTAGATAACTATGAAATTTCAATTAAAGTTCAAATTAAAGCTATGCAATCCTTATTTGAAAAGTTATAAATATATAAAAATGTGCATACATATGTACGTTAACTGTTTCATACATAAGCATAATGTAAAGTAAAACCTATACGATATATAGAATAGTATAGTAATAAAAAATAAAATAACCAAATTAGTAAATTTACTACTTTTTTTAGTAAAAAAAAAAAAATACTCTATACGTATTTCTTGCCATTTTTGTGTTTTTTTTTTTTTGTAATACAAAACTTGCAAAAATATGTACGCAAGTACATACAATTTTTAATTCAAGAGTTTATAATTTACGTTTTTGTACTGTCCCAAAGTTTTAAAGTAATTTACACAAAAATTTATGTATGTATTTAATTACATTATGTAATTATGATTAGCTGTTCGGTTCTTTCGATTATTATTATCATTAGTTTTTTTTTTTTTGTTTTTGTCCCTGCATATAATATGAAAAGTTTTTACCTTAGAATGTGAGCGCCGATTATTACGCCCCGCATCACGCTCATCAGCGCCCTTGGCACGGTCCCGATGGCGCCGGCGTGAGCTCGAATTGGAGGTCTCATCTCTGTAACGATATTTATGGGCACGCCTACCCGATGTGGGTGACTTACGGTGTGAACGTTTGGAGCGTTCCTTGCGACGTCGCGATGAACGATCAAAGCTAAAGAAGATTTGAATAAAAAGCGTTGTAATTATTAAAATTTGACTGTAGTTGTGAAAAAATAACAATCGATGCACAATATGAGCTAAAATCATTTAAATTGCATGAGTTGCAAATGTAGATATGTATGTATGAGCGACAACAACAAGGAACGTGCTGGCGGCTAATTGTTGATGAGGATAAAGAGTTGACGCGTATAATGCAATGCAGTTTTGAAGCAGGAAGTGTTCTATTTTTTTTCCTTTTGTAAGGTTCCGTTGGCAGAGAGACTCCTGTAGTAAATTGACACAGCATGCGCTGAATTGCTGAATACGCTCTTTGCGTCTTCTTCTACTTGGACAGCTGACTTGACTTTTGTGAAGTTTTCTTTTTATTTTATTTTATTTTTTTCTTGCGTTAATCTGGTTGTCTGCTGCTCTTCGCTCTCTGCCTTATTTTGTTTTGATTTGGTTTGTTTTGAAAACAAATTGAAGAGCTTTTTTTTCATTTTCATTTGAGTTAAACACACAAAGTCATTCAGTTGCCAAAGAAATGTATAAAATAATTGAAAAGACACACCCGAAATGGTAGCCGCAATAAATATTTGAAGCATAGCAAAAGTGACGGAGGCAAGGGGAAATTCGCAATTACATGATGCCGTGAACTCTTTTTGCGCTGTGGTATGTATCAACACATTCCCGAGAGTTTAGAAATAAAATATGGTCGCGCTATAAAATAAAAGCAGTTAAACGGTTGACTTGAATTAATTAATGGTATTTTGGCGGGCAAGCTTGCGGAACAGTGGTACGAGTAAACAGCAGCCTTACATCATTTCTTCACATACGAACAGGTGTACACGAGAGATTTCATAAATTCCCACTATGCCTAATCTTCACACTCAAGAAATCCACAAGTAAGAAAATATCAGTAATTCGATGTCCATCTGCCGGTGACTCGTTCGTTCATCGATGCCCAGTTAATAGACTCGGCGTATATAATACAGTCCGGGTCAGACATAATTTTCGTCCAGTTTACCGCACGCACATATATATTATGTTACACATTAAAAGTAGGTCAGCCAGTCTTCGATCAATTTTAAGAGCATCATCAATACTCTTAGCGGGGCGCATATCGTTTGGTTTATATCGTATAGGAGGTCAAGAAATCTACCCTCTGTTATCCTTGCGAGGTGTGAATGCACAGTGTCGCGAGTTCGGCCAAAAATACCAATATGAAAAGTTACAAAACACGAAATCTGAGTAAAGGGTTTAATTGACAAAGGTCTAACTAAGAAACATTTACAATTTTAGGTAAAAATAATGAAAAATATGGGAGTTATAAGCTGTCAAAGTAACATTCATTAAACCCATTTTTAATCTGAACCAATTTGAAAAAGCACGGAATATTTCTGATCTGACAATGTTAAAAAGTAAGGGCACCTCTCTGATCACATAGAATCAAAGTCAAATAAAAATCAACGTAAAATAGAGAAACACAACTTTAGTGGAGATTAAAAAAAAAAAAAAAACACTAAAAATCATTTCGGATTTTTATTTGGCAGAAATATTAGCTGCATGGGCCTGCATTTATAGAAGTAATTACACTTTTTCAGCGTTGTCCAGAATTCAAATAAAAGAATTTTTCATTACGATTTTTTGGATGTTTTTATCACTCAAAGATTTTTATGTGTGGTGGGCGTGTCTGAAGTTCGATCTCCACCAAATTCATATTTTGACTTTTTGAACTCATCGGAAGGTTCTCCATTAAAATCGCGGAACTCATCGAATCCCTTAAAAGCCACGTTCTAGTTTTCCTCCAGCTTACCGCACTGTGGTTTGGTATCCTACATCTCAAAACCACATTTTTCCAGTTTTTCGAAAACTCATACTTATAATTATGAACGTAATTAATTGACCGATGAGAATGCAAAAGTTGTATTACTTTCTTCCCTAGTAGGAAACATTAAATCAAGTTGATAAGAAAATTCCAAACCAAAATTTACAAAGGATGACGGAAATTCCTTCCAAAATGAATCAAGAAAATTTGTGTTTCAACAACCATATCAACGGCGTGTATACCTACTAAATAAGTAGATTAGAGATGCAGGATTTTAGATTCATAGCAGCATTCGATTCACGTCCCAGCCGAATGGAATATTTCCAGCACATATTAGTTAGCAACTTGCACTCGCCAAGTATTCATATATGTATACACGGAGCATAGCATCCTCTCGCTATGCTCATAACGGGATGCATATATGTATGCATACATATTAACGAGACACAAATAGAAACAGCACTCTATGTAGATATTCCGTAGAATAATTTCTGCAACATAGGCATATTTGTTTCAATTATTTCCAAGCTATTTTCGGCGCTATTGCATATAAGTACATACATGCTTTGAAAAGGAAATCACTATGACTTGGTAATTTAGTTTGCATTTGATAATTCAAATAAAATTTTATAGAAAATATTTTAATAGCTTTCTTATCACTTCTCAGCTTTAAAATGCACAACACAACACGCCATATTAACGGTAGCCTAATCAGCTAAAATCAAGCCCCCCCGCCAATTTTGCTCTACTCTCGAATGCTAAATGCAACAGTCGCTGCTTGAGGCACGATTTGTACTGAGCTATAAGAAATGCTAATGAGCGCCTAATAAAAATCGTAATTTTGCTGTAGTGCAAAATAATGAAAAATTATCGGCAGACAGGCGGAGAGACGCGATGGCATACTGACAAAACAGCCAAGCGGTCAAGCGAAAGTTGTGAGCAGCGCCAACTAAATACATAGACAATGCAAAGGGACGTACTGGCGGCGATAACGCCGATGGCAAGGGGCATCAAGTGGCTGGCGGCAGGCAGATGTGCGGAAAAATTTTGCTTGATTTGCAATTTTTTTCTTCTTAGTTTTAGAATTTGTTGTTTTGCTTTTGAACAGCGAGTGGCGGTAAAATATACAAAGCGGCAGGCGTACGGCGTACGAACAGTTTGGCAGACATGTGTTCTGTACTAGATACATATGTATGTATGACGGGCGGTTGGTTGTCGGCGGTGTTATGTAGGGCTAAGTGCCCAAAACAAGTGTAATGTAACGAGACAGGAATGCTTGAATGAGATACATACATACAGAGATGCATACAGTGGTGGAAAAATAAATAGAGACACGACATTTCAACAAATTGTTCTAATTTTTCATTTGTTTATTTAATTTTTATTATTTTTTTTTTATAAAAGTATAGTTTATTATCTAACAAAAACCTTATAAATTCATATTTCAAACTTTGTGCAAAAATTACAAAAATTCTGCAAACTTGCATCTAAATTTTAAACTTTGCAATTTTTTTGAGTAGCAGTTTTATAACCCACTAAATTTCGGTAGAATAAAGTACAAGTTTGAACTTCCTAAGAAGTCGCTTGATCATTTTTATTTTGAACGTATTACTTTTTTCCATACTGTCGAACATACTTTGTATGGAATTAAAAGCGTAAAAAAAAATCCAAAAATCAACACGATTTTTCAGCAACTTAAAACTTACACTTCATTATACCAAAATTTAATGGGCTAGAAAACTAAATACTCAAAAAAGTTTTGCAGAATTTTTATAATTTTAGCACAAAGTTTGAAATGTGAATTTATATAGTTTTTGTTAGATAATGAGCTATAATTTTATAAAAAAAAAAATATAAATATTAAATAAACGAAAGAAAAATAGGTGAAATTTAAAAAAAATGTCCTGCCCCTATTTATTTTTCCATCACTGTATATAAGCAGTTTCAAAGTGGCGTGTTGCAACGAGAAACGCTATGAGAATTTTTATTTTTGTGCAAGTTTGACTGGGTCTGAGAATAAAATACTGCATCAGAGCGGGCATAGAAAGGGAAAGGAGCGGGTGACAATGTTTAATTATAATAAATACACAGTATGTTAGTGTTTGGCCGAGCTTCTCCTCCTCCGAATGTTTGATCGTTCAATAAACATGATCGGTGTTGTGAATGAGTTGTGTGCTGATAAGAACTTTTTTTTTTATTTACTGTAGGTACATCAATTGAGCATTGCAAGAGGAAAAGAAATTTAATTTTTATTACAATTGACAATTGATAACGAATGAATGACTAAACGATCACACGAAATACGTGTACGAGGCTGAGTAACTGCACTCAGAGCATATCAACTACCGGCAAAATAATGTTGAGGAAAGTAACAGTTTTGAAATGAAACGCAAAAAGCTTGGAATATATTTTTGAACAAATTCTAATAAAGAATAAATAGAAACAAATCGCTCTGAGAAATTCGTCGGAAGAATGTTCGCTGCCAAAATTAAAACACCCTGCAGTATATGAGTTTGCAAACAACCAAAGCGTCGACGAAGTTCGTCTGACGAAACTCGGCAAGAATAATATATTTTTAATTTTTCCGCTGCCGCCGGTCAACAAATCATATATATATATATATATAGATGCCAGGCAATTTGTAAGGAATCATATTTTCATATTTGAAAAATGCAGTTTTTCTTGCACTTACGAATATCGTCAGGTTGGACTAAAACAGAAAATTTCATAACTGAAAAAGCTGTACAAATTTTTCGGAATTATTTTACTCATTTTCAGTGGTTGGCTTTAAAAGCAGCTGTGGCCACAACATTACAATATTCCATAACTATTCGAAACAACCCTACATCCGCACCTTGCATTTGAATGAATGCAATGAATACAAACGAATTGAGTGAAAAATAGAAATGTTTCAAAAGAGCTTTCTCATTGAATGAGTATCATCAATAAGTGTAAGCGAATTTTTTTTTATGTTTAATTAGCACATATGATGACCCAATTATAGGAGGCGAAAAGGGAGGCCAGTGACTTTTTCATATGAAAATGCGCAAATATAAATACAACACACAAAAATATTGAATTGTCTCTATTTATATATAGTAAATCATCAAAAGATCAACCGCCGGCAATAAATTTAGCAGGGTCATTTAGCCAAGCTTGCCAAATTTGGTAAAGTGGGAGACATT